AATCAAGCAAATTATATTGCCTGGAGATCCGCAGGTTTATGATTGTTCTTGTAACTATCATGGATGATTAAATAAATCCTTTGAAATTACATACTTACCAAATGTTTATATAACATTAATTTTTATATTTATATTTATTCGAAACATCAGAAATCATTCTTTTACTGTGTCCATAAAAATTGAGAAACGTAAACGTTTTACCTTAGTCAGTCAAGTGTTTCTTAATCAGTTAGCTGTTTCTGATGAGTATACTCGTCGTAACACAAAATATTGCCATGACGAGTCTACTCGTCGTAACATAAAATGTTGTTATCATGAGTATACTCGTCATAACACAAAATGTTGTTATCATGAGTATACTCGTCATAACACAAAATGTTGCCATGACGAGTATACTTGTCGTAACATAAAATGTTGTCATGACGAGTATACTCGTCATAATACAAAATATTCCTATGACGAGTATATTCGTCGTAACACTAAATGTGTTTTCATGACGAGTATACTCATCATAATACAAAATATTCCTATGACAACGAGTATACTCGTCGTAACACCAAACGTTGTCATGAGGAGTAGACGTCCTCAGTAGTAGTTGTTTTCATGACGAATATACTCGTCAGAAACAGCTAACTGATTTAGAAAACTACATATGTTAATATTCTCCATTAAATTATATGTATTTTTAAACAAAATATAGAGAAAATCAAACATATACAACACAATTATACTAACTTTTACACTTCCTAAAAGTATTGCGACAGCTAACTGGTCAATATACCAAAAATAGCTAAATAAAATACAATAAAATAAAAGTTGTATCATCGCACCATTATTGTATCATTTATAAATTATTCAATATCTTCTTTAATATCTGAATTAATATCTGACTTAATATCCGAATAAATATCTGTAGAATACGAAGTATTGACAGAAAATCAGTTCTCCACGACGAACAAATTCCTCGCAGAACATCGATGGACGGTGAACGTCGACGCTGTTCGAAACTAGTTCAAAGGAACACAGTAATTGCAACCTCCGAGCGTTTACACATGCTTGGCAGTGGCCCCAATTAATTTTCATTAATTACTCGGTCATCCGGCTTCTTCCACCTGTTTCACCGCGATTAACACGATGCCTGTGATTAATAATTCTCGGTACGAACCCACGCGGCAAACTGTCACGCCCAAAATGAGTATGTCGCTGGAACGAGACGAACGCTCCGCGCCGTTTCGGTATAGCAATCAGCATACTATGATATAATCCTGCGAGCGTGACAGTTTCAGGCCTCGTACACATCTCTGCCCCTCCCCCCCACACACGCATACGCAGTGATTAATATCCGATTGGAGATTAATGCACCGTGTGGTGCGTTAGTACTTATTAATTACTGGCAGGTGAGTCGAGGGTGGCGATATTTAACAGGTGCAGGCCCGCTTTCCACAGCTTCGCGCGGCAGCCAGAGTAACGCGGAGCGCAGCTACTTAATAATAACGTGTCTAATCGACGCCAGAATTCATTTGACCGCCGCTATTTAGTTGACAGTATGCCTGACGATAACGAGACAGAATAATACCTCAGTCGCCATCCATAAATACTGTGCTTAGATGCTAGATTAATAATAATGTTAAACGGCTTACCATTTACCAGCGTGACGTTTCCACGCGTTTTCTGACTGCGATTGCCATTCTCGTTACGCGATGGGTTGCGAACGATGGTTTGTAACTCATGGGATGTCCTACTTTATCGTTTCGCTGGAGTTAATTCTACGGCGATGCTGAGAACTGATATTTTTGTACGGATGAAATGAAAAATGGTAAACAGAAGAATTTAAGAACGTTGACGTATTTTTAACGACCTGCAGTTTTATACATTTTTAATCAGAAGGGGTATATATATGCAATAAACATCGAAAGAATTTAGGAAGGTTGACAATGTATTTTTCAACAACTTGTAGTAACGTGTACTATTTATATAGATGAAATGAAAGATAGTAAACGTGTCAGAAAAATTCAAGATCACTATCAGCTTAAAATTAAATTTCGTGTATTTTTTTTCTTCAGCTTTGTAGTAAAATATTTAGTTCTAAGTTCTTTTTTTGCAACATTATCATTTTCTCACTGCAACAAAAGGTTATCCCGACGATCACTAAAGTTATTATTATCGTTTTATTTTCGACAAATGATCGTCATTAAGAGAAAAAATGAATGTGCTTGCTCTCTTGCAGTCGATTTTTATTTTTCTTCATTGTCTAGTATTTATCATCTTATCTTTATGACTAGTGCTTTCGAACTTTTGATTTGTTGTTCAACAGACAATTATTTGGGTACGTTTATATCGTGAGACAAACAACGCTCGTTAAAAATATAGATCAACGATTTTCATCAGTAATCTTCGTGAAAGAATTAATTTCGTACAAAAAAAAAGAAACAAATCTCTAAAAGGACGTTTCATGTATTACAATTCATTTAGTAGACTCTGTTTTATAATAGAGAAATACAATAATATTACCGAATTAACATTTTTACTGTAACATGTACAGGGTGGTCTAAAAACTAGTCCTCATGATTTTCCAGGTACTTCTCATCAGTTTTCAGTCCACTGCAATTTGTAACAATAAGAATATCAAAACAAATTTTACTAATACGAAAAATCAAAACCACCTTAATTTTTGTAAATTTCATTATGCATTCTTGACCGTTGTTGACAATTAGTTGATAATTAGTATAATAGGTTACATACGTTACACACTTTTGTACATTCGAAGTTGGACATTTTTATCGACTTTCCATTTGGTTTAAAAACAATTTCGTTCCCTTCATGAAAATAATATCTAGATCGCATATTTTATACATTTGTCGCGAAATTGTGCAATTGAAAATGGTAAAGAGATTACATGAAATTAATAATACCAAGATGTTTCTCTCTATTGGCTTCTACTTTGGCTTTCTCTCTCTAGTTAGCTTCTACTTTTTGCAATGTCTTCTAGAATGACATGAAGAATGTTGTTGTCACAAGTAGATTTGTAGATAAATACTAATAAATCTAAATCAGATATTATAGTAATAAATCCTTAACAATTTCTAAGTTCAAAGTTATCTTCAATTCATAGCACGTTAAATCATCGAACTTCCACATCACCAACAATGTTAGCCCATCAAGAATACGCAGCGTCATTTAAAAACTGAAGATGTCCTCATTGTGCAAGTAAAATTTTGTTTCAAATTATTAAGTCTATTGTTTCTGTCTACCCATTATGAGTCACCAGGACAAACGAGTTTTTGCTTTCACTAAGTAGATAAGGGTGCAAAATAAATAAAATAAATAAATTAAAAAAAAGCAAAATAAATGTCTGACAATGAAACGGAAGTGATTTATCACTCGACCTAATGTTATTATCGGAATTTGTGGTCGACTGAAAATTGGTTAACTATTCCTTGCAGCTGCGAGAAGTACCTGAAAAATCGCGTAGATTTTCGCATCGCCCTGTGCACAGCCTGTACAGAATCTGTACAGGCATATTGCGTTTGTGTTTGGCGTTGCAGTAGCGAGTTGTGATTTTGAAATACGTCTGATCGTAGTCAATAACGAAAACGTGTTTGGAAAACTATGTGTTGAAAGCCGGCGATCGCTCGCTCGCTCCCTCGGCCGATTTCCTGAATGGTCCGTTGGTTTGCAGGCCAAGCATTTTCACAGCCGTTGAACAGCGGCTCGAAAATAATGTTCACCAAGGAAGGTCCGGCGACAGAGGACGATAGCTACATGGGTTACTCCGTCACGGCCGGGGACTTTACTGGAAACGGCGACAGCGGCATGGCTGTCGGCATGCCTCGTGGCTCCGAACTACTCGGCAAAGTATGCTCATGAAATATTAACACGTAATCGACGGCGAAAGAAACAACCATTGAAATTAATTCCGTCGGTGAAAGTAACCCGTCACGGGCGAATTTATTGCTTTCCCGGGAAAAGGATACCGACTCGGCGCTGTCGGTCCCTTGATAGCAACCTTTAACCACGCGCACCGATGCATCGGGCGAACCGTTCGCAAACAGATCTCGTCACTATTTCACAACTTTTCACTGTGCCTCTAGAAACTCTAACCCTTTGCACTCGGATGTCCCCCGTCAGGGGACAAAACTGTTGGTATTTATGGTAATTTTATCGGTAACGATTTTTATTTGTTTAGATTATTTCTAACGTAACAATAGCAATAATAGCGATAATAATATCTTTATTTTCTTGGTCTATCGATTAACAATAAAAAAATGAACTTGGCTTACAGTCGCCTAACGCCATTTCAAACGGAATAAATTTTTCCAAATTTTTATCATTTTTTCCAAATGACTTGAATTTTTTTTGTTTCGTTAGAACGTCTAGATTTTTAAAGAATGAGGATGCGAAAGCTTTTTTTAGATTGTAATTGGTTGAAATGTTAACAAAATTAAGATACGATGTTTTTTCAAGTTTTTTTTATCTAAGCCGATAATGAGTATTTAAAGAATGTGTTTGGTTGATCTCGGTGATTTACTTACATGCTGAAAATTTTATTAATAGAACATCTGTCATGTCAAAAAGATTCAAGGTGATTTAAGACAATTTTCCGAATGCTAGGGGTTAATTATTATTATGTATTTAGTATGAATTTATTTCAGTGTGTTTAATGTGTGAAGACACTCGTGTTTAAATTAAAATAAAAAAATAAATCACATTATCCCTGTGATTATATTATTTTACGAGGTGCATGTAGGTGAAGGTTGAGGATAACGTTGAATACAAGTCAAATACTGTCTTACTGGACAAGTTAGATAATTAAAATAATAATTAATTTAATTGGAACACTNTTATTAATTCAAATAATAATAATAATATTAAATAATGAGATATTAAAGAATTATTAATTCAAATAGCAATGTGTTAAATAACGAGATATCGAAGAATTATTAATTCAAATAATAATAATAATATTAAATAATGAGATATTAAAGAATTATTAATTCAAATAGCAATGTGTTAAATAACGAGATATCGAAGAATTATTAATTCAAATAATAATAATAATATTATATAACGAGATATATCGAAGAATTATTAATTCAAATAATAATAATAATATTAAATAATGAGATATTAGAGAATTATTAATTCAAATAGCAATGTGTTAAATAACGAGATATCGAAGAATTATTAATTCAAATAATAATAATAATATTAAATAATGAGATATTAAAGAATTATTAATTCAAATAGCAATGTGTTAAATAACGAGATATCGAAGAATTATTAATTCAAATAATAATAATAATATTAAATAATGAGATATTAGAGAATTATTAATTCAAATAACAATAATAATATTAAATAACGAGATATCGAAGAATTATTAATTCAAATAATGTTAAATAACGAGATATCGAAGAATTATTAATTCGAATAATAATGTTAAATAACGAGATATCGGGAGATTATTTCAAATAATAATGCTGAGTAACGAGATATCGGCGAATTATTAATTTACAAAAATATCCGATCGCAGGTTATTCTCTTCACTTCGAATATGACGAATCATCGGAATATTACTGGTGAACAAATGGGAGCTTATTTCGGTTATGCCGTGGCTTCCGGCGACATCGACGGCGACGGCTTAGACGATCTCATAGTTGGCGCGCCTATGTACACCGTGCCTGATAACCCGGAAATGACCATCGAGACCGGAAGGGTGTACGTGATCTATCAAGGCGCCGGACCTGAAAAATTCCGCAGAGTCGATTCCAGGTATTTTAGTTACTATTTGTTCGAGTGATCCCATTTTTTTTACTAAGAGACATGTTAAATCAATGATCATCCTCTTTATTTACTTACTACACTGCGGATCACTATGTTCTCAATTGTTGCACATTTCACAAAGATACCAGGAAAATATTAATATCCAAAAACCCTTCCTATTGTTCAATTCAGTAAACGCAATGCAAATAAATAAGTAATAAAGCTTCTTGTATAATTCGGTTAACATTGAGTCGATTTTAACTGACTCGTTTTTGTAATATTAAGAAACTCTTATTTCACGATTTTTAATGAGATCAACTCATTCCCAAAATTCTTTCATTATTTTAACATTGATGTGGCATTTGTTCCATTTAAATCGATATTGATTTCGACCTAGTTGTTTCTATAAGAATGCTGGTTGAACAAAAATTCTGTCACAATCGAATTCATTTAGGAAATGGAGATCTGATTAAATATTTGATGATCTTAATTTAATTAAATACGTTTCGAGCGCGATTACTTGATTACAAAATTATTACCAGTAAATCGTCTTCAATTTAATGTTAATATTATACAGATTTTAATACAATTATTCAATATTACACTCGTTCCAATAACTTCAAGCAGCTTTCCCAATTTTGTATCATAATTTATTCAACATTTAATATATTCGAATGAAATATCTTCACAGTGCTACTCAAAAGACAATAACCTTGACAATTCGTTAAAAAAACGTTGAGTTAGAGGATGGTACTTTCCGGTAAAAAAGACTCAATATTAATCGTGTCAAGGATAACACGAGGTCACCGAAGTCGTTGACATCTCTAAACTAAAATCTTCATAACGTTATTCAAGGTTACTTCCAGGTTATATTATCTTGACTACGCATTAAAAAATCCTTAACGTCGTTATGATACCATTCCGCAAATTTATGCCGAAATTCCATCAAATCTGCGCGATGCTGATCGCGTTAAGGGTTGCGCAGCCTTCGTTCGCCAAGACCGTTGACCTCTCCTGATAATTTCTTATCGTTATCCAGGGACGGGGAGAGCAACCGCGGGCGATTCGGCTTGTCGCTGAGCTCACTGGGAGATATTGACCGTGACGGTTACGGGGACTTCGTGGTGGGTGCTCCTTACGGCGGGCTCCACGGCCGCGGCGCTGTCTACATCTACCACGGGTCCGCCACCGGTGTCCTCGAGAAATACTCCCAGGCGATCTACCCCGAAGACCTGAGGCTGCCTGTCGACATGCAGACCTTCGGATTCTCTGTCGCCGGTGGCCTCGACCTTGACGGGAACCACTATCCGGACCTAGTCGTCGGTGCCTACGAGTCCAGCACAGCGGTGTTCTTCAGATCTCGGCCGGTCATCAAAATGGACTCCTACGTGACGTTCGATCAGGAGTCGAAACTGATCTCGCTGGACGATAAGAATCGTACCCTGTCGGATGGCAGCCGGGTCACCGCTTTCCCGTTGAAGGCTTGCTTCAAGTACAGCGGCGAGGGCGTCTCGTCCAGCCACACTTTTAACATTCAGTACGTTCTGGACGTGAAGAAGACGAAGAATCCCAGGCTGTTCTTCTTGGAACTGGAGGGCAAGAACACGATGAACCGCACGATCACTGTTGATCTGGATCGACAGTTCTGTTGGACTGTTCAGGTTAGTGCCGGTGCTGGTGGTTCGTTCGGGCATTGTCTGGAGATAGTTTTGGCTAGAAGATGCGAGGTCGATGCATAGAGAACGATGTTTTTAGTAAACGCAGCTTTTTCATTGTTTTTCGGGTAATGAGTTACGGTAAATTCTCTCTAATTCGCGCTCAAGTTGTGCACAGAAATGGACAATTTCGGAAGAGCAGGTACGATTATTCGAGCTTTACGGCTCGTTTTTATAGTTACCGATTATCAACAACTATAAAAAAGAGATGCAAGAGTCGAATAATCGTGTCTGCTCTTCACAAATTGTCCATTTCTGTGCGCAATCTGAGCGCGAATTAGGGAGAAATGACTGTATTTTTATGTCGGCTTGGGAGATCATTTTTCACGTAATAATTTGGGCAGTATAGATTGTAAAATCTGCTAATAATTACTAGACTACGGGAAAAAATTATTTTGTATTATTTATAAAAAATTAAAATTGTCTATATCTGTTGCAATAATTTGAAGCCACTTTGGAACTTCTTCCTAGCATTAATAATTATAGTAGGACGGAAGCGATGTATCCATACTCTTTAATTATTGAACTGTCCCTTCTTTTTAAAATTACAAATATCCATTTTGGTCATAAGTGCAAAAAATCCGCAGTCTAATTTTGGAAACAATTATTTTTGGTTTATGCAACATTGATACTCTGGTGTACATCGATTGCACTGAACTTCTTCGTATATTTTTGCTTATTATTCATTATTATGTTCACCAGAGTACCAATGTGGCATAATTAAAAAATAATTGTTCGAAGAATTAGATTGCTTATTATTCATAATAATGAAGAATAAGCGAAAATATATGAAGAAGAATAATGCAATCGATGTACACCAGACTATCAATGTGGCATAATCCATAAATAATTGTTCGAAGAATTAATCTACTTATTATTCATTATTATGAACGAAGAATTAATTTACTTATTATTCATAATAATGAATAATAAGCGAAAATATACGAAGAAGTATAATGCAATCGAAGTACACCAGACTATTAATATGTG